TATGCTGAATTTTGCTATCCCAGCTCCGAAGGTGCGCCTTCCCGCCGTGCAGTGGCCTAGAGAAGCGTCCCGACCTTGGAGTGGCCGATACAAGAGTCTGCCACATTCCCGCTTCTTGAAGCTTGCTCACCCATTTCACTCCCAAAGACACGAGCGTTGCGCAATGTTGGGCACCATACTCTCGATGAAGTCTTAGAGTGGACGCTAGGGATGGTCGCGCAGCGTGCATTAGAAGCGGTGCAGCAAGGAGCTACTCAGTTACATTCAGTTCAAACAAGCCCAATCAATGCGCACTCTTTCGGGGCCACGTGTTCGTTCGTTTCTTCAGGGAGCTGGCACGGGATTTAGGAGAGCTTAGGGGGTTAAGTTGAATGATCCCAGCGATTGAGAAATGTGCCCGAGCTGCCCCATGCGTTTCCTTCAGCCCAAGGCCGTGCCCGAAACCAAATGCCAAATATGCCGAATACATGGCATGCCTGGCGCAGCCTTCAAAGGCGGTCAAGCGCGGGCCTGAGTCCATCTGGAGGGTGTGCTGATAGGTCTGATAGGTGTTGGACTGCCGAAAGAACAGGATTGACAAAATAATTGACGAGGACGAAGTGAAGTTTTGGGACTGATTGCGCAAGTAAGCAATCGCAATCGACTTCCTGCTGCAAGGTTGTGTTGGCATCCGAAATTTAGGATCTCGCGCCTAGGGTTTGTATTCACACTTGTCATCCAAGTTGCGCCTTGTATACCTGGTATGTCCAAGGAATGGGCAGGGGGGGAGAAGGACGGGTCAGGAGGGTGACAAATATTACCAAAGCATGTACGCTTAGGATGGGGTGTAGTTCGCCTCGCAAATTCAAGGTCAGAGGTCTACGACAAGCAAGAGCTGGTGCAGATTCATGAAAAGCTGGAAATGCAAGTTGAGACTCGGCAAGAATCAATTCCTGTAAGGTCCCAAGCCATCCAGGCTTCCAATTCACCCTACGAACCACAAGTGTGCATCACTCACGCAACCGCAGTCCTTTTCTGGGAACTGCTGCCTCGAAGTCCATGCAAGGCAAATAACAAGGCAGTGAATTGATGTCATCAACGCTTGATTTCAGAATCACCGAAAGCACGTGGAGGATGGCTTGGACTCTCACTTGGTACTGTTCCTGTGGCATCTTGGCCAGCATTTAGCGAAGCCCTGGCGAGTCCTGGACCTGTCATGCAAAGTGTCGTCTGTCCTTAGTGATGTCAGTTGTGTTTAAAGTCACCTGCTCCTTCGTTACCCGTTTGTGGAAATTGGCCGCATGCTTTGTCTTGCATGGGGCCTTGCTTCAGAGTGCAACGCATTTCCTGATTCTGTGGCGAGGTGTCAGCGGAGCTCCTTGCTCGGAGATTCTACAGCCCCGCCCTTGCTGTCAAGTAGATTAAGGGCATTGCCTTGCCTCATGTCGTGGCCGCTTTGTTGCTGATCGACATTCTGGTTTTCTTGCTTATGGCAGAGGGTAGACTCTCCAGAGGACGTGCCTTACTCCGAAAGCCGTAGCGCAGTAAGAGAAGAGAGAGCACGAGATGCAGAGTCAACAATGCGATTGCACACCAACAACAGAGAGAGGTGCTGCTGGGCTACCGGCCCATCCCGCTGCGGGATGTGGCGCTGTACTCCCGTCACCTGCCCTTGATTGTTTGGCAGAACTTGTGGGTTAAGGATTAGGCTGAAGGCTGTAGATCCGGGAGTGGGGTCAGTGGCATTAGTCGCCATTGTCCTGTTTCCAGGCTGGGCGGCTTGGGATATCTCAGACTTGGAGGTGCGCCGGTGCACTTTGGGGGTGAGGAGTTGGACATGGCGCTTTAAAGAGTTGAGCGCGCTCTTGGGCACTTGACTCCGACTGTCTTCAGCTTGCAGAAGCGACAGCTGTAAGCATCTGTGGGCATTTGGCGCCGCATCCTGGAGTTATGGGACCATGAGGGCAGGTGGCAGGCGCAAGGGGACGTGCCACCGGCTTTTTGACGAAGCAAACAGAGCATGCCCGAGCAGACACCTTGCGCTCGTAGCAGAAAATTTAGCCACTCATCTGCTCATCGTGTGCTCATCTTGTGCTTCGAAGCAGAACTTGGGACCGGTCCGAGAAGTGGCCACAGGCGCCCACTTTCGAAAGTAGTCTGCCGAAAGCATGTAAAAAGAAACATACACAGCTGACTCAGCTGACTGCAAACTGGCAGAGTAAAGCGATCTCGCAAAACCATTTGCATGCGCCCTGAAACATCCGGCATCAGGTTCTACCCGCTTCAATCCGCTTTCCGAAAAAGCCTTCACAGTCTCCACCCGAAGCCTGCAATCCAAAAGCTCCGCACTCTCGACTCCGCGAGAGAACTAAAATTTCACGCTCGGTTCCTCAGCCTCAGGTCGGGTATAGGGCCTATAGGGGTCAGTCAAGCAAGCACCACACGCCAGCCCGGCAGTCCACTTCACCGCCACATTTCCTTCTCGAGAGTAGAACCTCGTGGATGCCGGTGCACATGCCTTGGAAGCCCCGGCCAACCCAAATCCCAGCACGTGACATCTTGGGTTCTTCGTTCAAATAGAACCCGTAACGTTTGGTGACAGATTGTTTCTCTGGGCTCCTTGGGGTGCTGGTGACGACGTCTACTGGGCTTATAGGCCTGTGTTTCCAGAACTTGCCGCGCTTTCAAGTCTTGGCCCTCTGAATTTGTCTCTGCAGCGTGCGCCTGAGTGCCGGGCGGGTGGCAAAAGTTCAAAGTAATTACACGAAGAGGGCCGGGGACCCCAGGGAGGCGGGGCGCTTAACGAGTTTTTGCAGTGGCGGTCTTTGAATTTAGTTTTTTTTTTTTTGGGGGGGGGGGGGGGGGGGGGGGAACCAGAGGCAAAAGTTTCAGGCTTGTGGGATCAGTGACTCGTCATTTGCTGCCATGAAACAATTCAAGCCAGGCGGTTCAGGAGCTGGCGCAGCTCAGCATCCGCCTCACCGTCACAGCGCCGTCTGAGCGCCCAGATGTTATGATTCAGCTAAGGACACAGGCGAGGTTCTGTGGTCTCTAGGTATCATGGTTTGCTGTGCAGTACAGAATATGCGCAGTCTTGCAATCGTTGGCACAGCTTGGCCGTTGCTAGTTTGCATAACCCTTTCACCCCTATCGGTTTCATGCAGGCCTGGGCAAATCCGGTTGGCACACCTTTCCGATGTCAAGGAAACGGGGCACGTGGCCCCAGTCACATCGTCTGGCTTGGAGGATCCATGTGGATGTGTTTGCTGCTGGAGTGTGCTGTCAGACATATCCAGATTGGAGCAACATCAGAGATTTCCGATTCAGCATCAATTGCACGGTGCCTTTTCGCTGCGTGCTTCTGATGCGCTCAGGTTCACTTTGAATTGGAGCTGGAGCCTGAGAAGTTCAACGACCGCGGTAAGCCTCCCGTTTTTTGAGGATGCCTGCGTGTCCTCCCGTACCAGAACCAGAGGGATATTTTCTGCACCTTGTTCAACAACGGGGGGGTTGCAGAGCAGGGTTTTTCCGTGTCTACAGCATGCTTTTGAGTTGCTTTGCTGTTTGGTTGGTGGTTGCTCTGCCGAGGTACACACGAGCATCAAGTAACAATCCACTGCTCCTCCAGTTTTCCTCAAACAGCGTACTGTTGGGGTTCAAAATAAATTTTAACGATTGCCGACATTCTGGGGACTGTTGCCGGGTTCCTGGGCTCCTTGTCTCTCTTTGTCTCCGATGGTCTTTGTCTCCCTTCATGTGGGTGGCTTTGCCGGGTTGCTGCACTCATCGTCTCCCTTTGTCTCCCTTCGTCTCCCTTTGTCTCCCGTTGTCTCCCCTGTTTCTTTGACATGCCTTTAACTGTTTGGGGTCTTCGGTGTTGTTATCTTGCTTGAGGCGAGCCGCTTGGCTCACCCGCCACCGCCTACGCTGCGCCTCGATCTATCTGGGTCGGACATGTGGCCTCTTGCGTAGTGTCCGCGTGAGGCAACGAGGCAGGGTAGCGAGGATCACAGCTGAGGTGTCCATACACACTCCAGGGGCAGCGGTTGCCGGGAGTCCTGGGAGCTGCCTACTCGTAGTTTTTGTGGGCAATGCTGGGCACCGCTGGCTCGGGCGATGTGTACACCTGGTGTACACCTCCAGCAGAGGCCTTATCGCGACAGACGACCTCCGGACATGAAGTGTCGCTGGATGGTCTGTTGCCGGGGTCTCACTTGCAAGAGCGCGAGGATCGTAATACAAGCAGGGCTTGACAAGAGGCTTCAGAGACCATGAACACATTTTCTGATGTTTTGGTGACTATAGGACCCTGCTGAGCATTGCTCACAGTTCACCCGACTGAATCAGTGGAGCAGCCGCCGGTGCAAAAAGACCTTTCAGAGCTAAGGCCGGGCAAAACCTACATCGTGGATATCACGGGAATGAACCAGGCCGACGCAATGTCTCGAATCCCACCGGCGAAGGATTCGAGAAATCGGGTCGAAAGAACTTGCAGCCTGAAACTGCCATTCCGCTTGCAGCATTTTGAAAGCATAGAGGCCGGATGGGGGGATGGCCTCAAACTGGAGGCCTCCACACGACCCAGCAGCGCACCCGTGCAACGTAACGTGATTGTCTGTGAAACTTCTGAGGGGATCAGGCGGATCCGGGAAGAGGTACAGGGCTTTCTGGAGGTTAGGTCAAATGTTTGCAGATGCATTTCCACTCCACAGATGTTCTCACCCTACGCTTATCGATGCACTGGGTATGACCATCTGTGGACTATGTTTGGGACCTAACGAGTAGTCAGTATTGGTCACCTGGCAGAGTCACAGCAGGCCAGATGCAAAAGGACAGTTAGGTCTCAGAACGCAGCTCAGTATACACTGAGGTTTCAACCGAGATACTGACGACAAACACGGTGAGAACGCCTGTCTCTCGGAAAGTAGTGGCGAAGACACGTGAGGTCGCAAATCGCGGCAGAGAGTATCATATAGTCACACAGGCAGAGCGAGGGAGGGAACTTTGTGCTTTGTGTGCCGATGACCATCCGTGTCGGATGCCAGCTGCTTTCCTTTCTTGTCCTTTGCAGCCATCTCATTCAGGACGATAGCCGCAGCAAAGTTGAGCAACGGTAGCAGAGCGCCCTTTACAATGAGGAGTGTTTTGGCTGTGTCGCTCTTGGGACTTGCGGCCGCCTCGAACCACACGCTGCGAGCCGGAGCTGCTGGGACGAGCCCCATTGTCATTCAGGGCAACATGCTCTTCAATGCCGCGGGCGAGCGCTTCTTCGCCAAGGGTGTTGCCTACAATCCCCGGAACGGCAACTATGGTCAGGTTCTTGGAACCCACAAGCCTGAGTGCAAGGCTGGTACCCCAAAGTTCCCGCCCCTGCCTTACTATGGCGACCCAACAGCGGACGAGATGGCAGACCAGTTCTCGGAGTACCTGCCCCTGATCAAGAACCTTGGTGCTAACACCATCCGCCTCTACAACATCGACCCAGAGAAGTCGCACAGGAAGTTCATGGAGCAAGCAGCATCCTTGGGCATTTACGTCTTGGTACCACTGACTAGGGGTGACTGGGGCTTCTTGCCAGCCCTTCCGAGCCCACAGTGCTATCATGCAGACCTCCCCGACTATGGTCATGTGGGCCTGAACCTGCTGACTTCGGCCAAGCTCATCGTGGATCAGTTCAGCCAGTATGCAGCTAGTGCACAAATGTTCAGCAACTAGTTTTTGGTGCGATGTCGTAGCTCTTTTCAATTCCGGAGGAGTTCCGGAGGGCTCGCAATTTCCAGGGTTGGTTTGTGCAACCCACAGGAGAACACGATGATGTTCGTTGTGGGCAACGAGATTGAGCTTTTGGACAAGGACCGTCAGAAAAAAATCTCGATTGCAAAAATGCATTTGAAAATCGCAAGGCACGGCACCTGGAACCGAGCAAGGGGGGTCAAGAGAGTGGGCTGGTTTTTCTCTGGCAGCGGTTCGCAGCAAGAGTGCGGAAGGGGGAGGGGAGCACAAAAGAAGCTTCTGTCGACACTTCGGCCTACTTGCGCAATGCTGCGCTTGCAGTCGTGTCTCGCGTTCTGACACATCTCGGCATCATTCCGAAACGCCCCTGCTGCTGTGGGATACATCAAACAATGGCGGGGTAAGTGAGGTAAGTCACGGCACAGGGGCATTTGAACTCCAGAATCTAACCTCCAAACGTGAACAGCACTTTGACCTTGAGGAGAACCCATAGCTTTCTGGAGAGGTCCTCCCATGCGATCTTTGTATGGCTCTGCATCGAATACGGTCTTGAGTGTCCGCTTCTGCACAGGAGGGCATGGCAGCGTACCCTTGCGTGCCTTGGAGGGCCATGTCTCACGCACACACGGTACAGAGCGAGCTCTAGCCATTGTTACCAAGCGCTGGCGCTGGGTTGAGGGTTTGTTGACATTTTCTTGCGCTCGCTACTCAGCTGTGTGAGGGCCTAGTTTCCGTTGAGGACCGACTGCCGCTTTACCATTAATGATATTAATGTCCCACGAGAGTTTCAGCAGACTGGACATGACACATGGTAGCAATGAGTCCAGTGCCCATCGCTTTTCTCATTCAGAAGCTACTGATTACGCAAGGTGAAAGCTCTCACACGTGACATTCACCGATACCAGAAGGAGAAGGGGTACAGGAGACCGGCAAATTGTGACCATCTGGTTTGTGATTCTGTCGTCCGATCGTCCTTGAAGAGCGTCAACAAGTCGCCAAAGGAGCGTTCCCCTCATCTATTCTGACAAGGACCAGGGAAACAAGGACGGGCACTTGCAGAGCTGAAGCTGACCGCCCTCAATTTCGGTGCTATTTGTGCGAGACATCCAGTTGCACTGTCTGCACGGCTGTCTACCAGAGCGCTGCAAGACCATGACATGAAATGCGTTGACACTCTGCGGAGTAGGACCGAGTGAACATCGCGAACTACCTGACATGTGCATTGGAGAGCCCTGACGATGCAGCAGCTCGGCGGTGTTCCAGTTAGTTTGCCTACGCTTATAAGTTGTGGTTCATTCCCGGACGGTACAGGTGGATGCCTTCGGGCTGAATGCTTACTCCTGGTGCGATCCAGCCTACGGCAGTGTCTGGGCAAAGTCTGAAAGGGTCGATGCCACGGTACCCCCAAGAGCTGTCGCGATGCGTTCCTGCGCGCGAACCTCCGCAGGTTTCCACATTTTCGCTGTTGGCAGATCTCAGATGTGACAGCAGCTGGCAGTAGGACAAGCAAAATGGTGTGTTCCAAGTTCGGCAAGTGCCTTCAGCGATGAAGCCAGGTTTCCAGTATTCCCCATATCAGTCGATCGTTGATGACTTCGCGTCCTTTTCCAAGCTGCTTAGCTTACTATGAAGGGGCGGCCTGGTCTACAGGTTTTGCCACTTGATTCCTGAGCAGGCTTTGGAAACCCCTAGCCATTCTCAAGGTTCTTAATTTAGCTGTCTTTCTACGTTTCAATATTTCAGCTTTAGACTCGGATCCGGCCATCTGCTGCAGTGCCCTAGGGCCCAGAACAGTTTTGTTTGAGGTTTTTGAGAAAGTATTGCGCAGATTGCGAAGAGCTGGCTGGCAGGCCCTTTCTTTTCACCGAGTTCGGCTGCAACATTGGTTCCTTTCAGTGGCGAGGTTGCCATCAAGTGCTGGTAGCTGTGGAACCTGGGCAGACAGCCAGTGACACTGAAGCAGATTCTTCCCAGGTGGTCTTGTCCGGGCTACACGGGAGGCCGAACATGGCCACAGGCCCCGAATTGATTCGTTGAGCCATTGAGTGTCAGCTGAGCGATAGGTTGTGGGTTGAATGTCCAGAAGCAAGTTCACCCAAAAGTGGAAATCATGCAGCCAGCGGTTGAAGCAATGTATCCATCCATGTTGCTCTTTTGCGGGGCGAGGGACATGCTGAAGCCTTTCCTTGCACAGGGTCAAAACCTTTCAAATGCAACATAAACGCATGTAAATGCAGAGCATGGAGCCTGTCAGGTCGGGGTCATGATGGATCGAATGAGCGACCTTGTCAGCGGGGCAGTGGCTTTCGAGCATGCCGACTGAAATCTCAGGTTTAAGATATTTGCTTCCTTGGCCCTGAGGATGCGGACCTCGTCTCACCTCTCACCTGACCCTGGCACCTTCGTACTCTCAGCGTCGTGCTACCTTGAGCTGTAGACTGTAGACTTGCTGTTTCAGGTTCTCCATGGAGAACAACGAGTTTGGGCTGGTGCTTACACCCGGATTCCTCCAGGGTCAGAACACCGTCAAGCTGACCGACAGCTACTATGCCCTGCAGAAGGCAGAAATCTTTCTCAAACTTTCCGGCATTTCAAAGCCCCAACTGCACCAGCGCACATGTCCCAACCGACCCTTCCATTCGGCAGACATGTGCGGGAAATCGCATGTGAAATTCGGGCTCGGCGCTGGCTCGCACAGTTGATTGAGCCTTCCCCGGCTGACGCAGGAGTTCGAAACCCACAAGGTCAAGGCATTTACGGCCCCGGCCCGCTCGGCCTCTCGTGCTCAAAAGGTTGGAGAGAGATGAAGGAGGTTCAAGTTGGAAATTTGGAAAGAGGTGGCCTTGCGGATGCGGCTTTGTCCGGGCTTCACCAGGTTGTGGTCCTGCACTTCCGAGGGCTCAGCATGCGATTGGGGTTGGGAAACTTTAGAGCATGACTGTTGAACAGGACAAATCGCATCCAGATGCTGCCAGTAGGTTGCAGGTTGCACACCCGGCCAAGGCACCTTCCCAGTGCATCTCAAGAGAACTGGCAAACAAGATGCAGCAGCAGAACCATGTGCCCTGGTTGCTATAACACCGCGGACGCCCAGCTTGACAGGCACGGCTCGCCCTTCTGTGCCACCCGCCGAGGTGAACCAAATCTCGGACTGGTCGCGACTTCCTTCTACCCCAGTCATGCCAGAGACAGTGTTCCCGTGATTGGAGGTTTCGGCCATGTTCAATAAAACCTGCTTAATTCATGAGTTCTGCTTTTGAGCACATGGCCCAGTTTAATCTTTTGGGGGCCTTGCATTTCTGAGCTGGCAGTCTGAAAGGGCAGACTGCGACGGTATGGCTCACAAGGAGCCTGCTCACGAGGCTTACAGGGCCCAGGCGGGCTCTTGTCCAGGCAGGTGGCTCAATTTCAACCTTCAACGATGCTTTTGAGTTGCCTGGACGAGGGTTTCAGCTTTTTCTGAGCATCAATCCGATTTAATTATGGCAGTTTTCCTTATCCCACCTTCTGGTGCGAAGCCTAGCGACAGCGCAGTGTGGCCTGGTGCAGTGCCAAGGCCAAGGCCAGGTTGGGCATAATTCGGTTTCCTTTGTCACGCAAGGCGTGAAAGGGCTTCAGCCTCAGTTCGTAAAATTCCCAAAGAGTTCAAGTGTCCGACAGCCCGACAGCGAATGCGTCGAAAACTGTCTCGATGGTTGGCCGCATGTGTTATGGTGCTATGTGATGCCTGCTTACCTAAAGCTGCTGTAGATCTCAACACTCGAAGGGTAATGGCAAGCCATGCAGCCAATTGATCCAAAGCTAGACTTTTGTGCAGCCCAGGCTTCCGGGCCGGGCCAGCCCGGAATTACGCACCTGTGATGAGAAAGGACCGGCCGCTTTCCAGTACTCTAACAAGCTTTCAGGAGTCGAAAGGGTTCGGTTCATTGAATAATCGCTTGAGGGATCGTGGAAAGTGCCTCCCACTGAGCCTCTTGAATGCCATCAGGCACAATTCCCCAGGCAACAGCAGGGACAAATTCTTGAGCCATGTAGTGCAGGACCTGATCTGAGAACGTTGCGGCAAAGGAACTGCAACCAGTTCTGCGTTCTTTGGTCTCACACGAGTCGCAGATTCCGATGCTTCGCTTTTCGTGGTGAAAGGAAAAAGCCGCAACCCACCGTGTTACACCGCGCGGACACTGGGGTTTATTTAGGGCTGTAGCATTTGTAGCATGCAGCACCATTTCGCACCGAAGGGGAGAGGGAGAGAGAGAGAGAGAGAGACCGAAGGGGGGGGCTACGCGTGCAGGAGAGAGAGAAAGAGAGAGACTGTATCCCATCCCCCTTGGGAAGTTTTTTTTTGTTTTTGTTCATATAAAACCCAAGAGGATATTAAGGATATGATTTTTATTGAGGTTCAGAGGGGAGTTTATGAGAGAGAGAGAGAGAGAGAGAGAGAGAGAGAGAGAGAGAGAGCGAGAGTGGAGCACGCCCGTGAGGGCGACCTCCCTCTGGGAGGTTATGTGCGACGGAAGGAAGGAAGAGAGCGAGAGAGAGAGCGATTGAATCGAAGCCGCAAACCGTGTACGTAGTACAAAGGTGCCGAGGATCGGCGTGCATTGCGAGGGGGTTCCGACCCTTACGCCCAGCAGAAGGAGCAGAACAACAGAAAGAAAGGGGACGAGAGGTGAAGAGATGGAGAGGTCGCTCAGCTTTCCCATGACTAAACACTTGCCACCGGGCAAACATACTGGCCGCGTAACAGCGTAACAGAAGCCAGCAGAACTCTCAACGCCTCCCAATTCAACTGCGTCTACTGTTCTGCTGGTATCTGGCCCATCCTCACATGCGGGAGCTTCAGTGCCGGAGTCCTGGCACACCGAAAGGGGGGCCAACGCAGTGGCGTTCAACCTGAACGAGCCGCTGCAGACGGACCCTGACAGCGACGAAAGGACTTGAAGCAGAACGTTGAAGGAACGGGTCTTAACAGCTTAAACACTTAAGTAAATACCAGCAAGGCCAGACGCCGGCAGAAGAGCGGCAGTGATGTGTTTGTAGGCTCAACACGAGCAACCAGAGCAGTGCGCCATCGTCGCCCCCTGTTGGGCTCTTGGGGAGTCCTCTCCCCCGTATTTGATGTGGGAGCCATCGGGTTACTGATCGCTCTGCAGAAGGCCTTTGCCAACGCGCAGAAGCCTTCAACCACGAAGGCCCGTGCTTCCAGGCCATGCGCATCAAGGCTCAAGACCTGCGAGCGTCGGAGCAGGAACTGTTTTTGCTAGCCTGGTCGCGTAATGGACACCCTGCGAACACCGAGAGGTCGTTCGCGCCCAGAATTGCGGGGACGCCCCACCCGCCAGTGTCAGGACACCCCGCGAGCACCGAAAGGGTTGTCGTTCGCTCCCAAAATTTTGAGCTCCACGCAGAGTCACAACCCGCCACGTCCACCGACAGGGTTGTCGTTCGTGGCCAAAATTTTGAGGACGATCCACACGGCAGCATCACATGAGGCGCGGTGGGTCCCACGAGCCCTAGCCCGTGCTTTAACGCGTCATATAGTACACATATCAAGCCTTCCAACATATCACGACATCCATCCCGACATCCACCCCCCGAAGACCCTTGAAGATGTTTTGTGATCCCTCGATTCAAGTTCCATCGCAGTGTTGACTCGACATCTCCAATCGTTTTCTCAAGCAGCAAACACTTGGACGCAATTAGCTTCAGCAGCATGCTGTAGCATGCTCAATCCATGTTCTCGACCTCCAGGAAGGCAGGCGCTGCAGCCAACAAGACACATTTCAAGCAGCTCAAACCAGCGTATAGCACGATTTGCGTACAGACACATAGCTGCCTAGCCCAGGGAGCAAGATCCTCATCCTCAAGCCTCCCGACAACTCACGCCACCCTAAAAACCACAAGCCTGAATCCCTGCTCAAGACGCCACGCGCCATGTTGCTCAGACCCGTCAGCGTGAGACGGGAGGCACTATGCGAGCTGAGATTGAATGTGAGGAGTTGTAATCATTAATCCACGCCCCGATTCCCAAGCCCCATGAGCAGAATCGAGCTGCCAGCTGCAAGTGTATCAACTCGGCATTTCCCGAAAAAATGGACAGCTGTGCCACAACAATGGTCAACAGCGCATCTTGTCCAGAAGCGCTCGTCAGTCACACTGAGGCAGCCAAGCCATGATGGACCAGGCCAGACCTCCTCTGAGGTCATTTTATATTCTGCTGGCACGTGCAGTTTCAACTGGCGTGCGGTCGCTTCTCAGCCACTTAAGAGGGACAAGACTGAACTGAACTCACAGTCATGCAGTTGGAAGTTTCACCATGCCGGTCTGTTCTGATGCTGATCGGCACGTTTGTTATTAAGATGTCTTCTCCTAATCGGCTCGAGTTGTCCAGTCAACAAGTTGCGCATGTTCGGCAAGGCTTTTCAGAGCTACGCTGCCCTTCATGTGGACGCCGCTATGTTCCAGCCTCGGTTTTGCGCAACGTTTTGCAAATCACGCCGAGCATGCCTCCGGGTTGCCTGTGTTTGTTTGTGTGTGTGTAGGTGTGTGTAGGCGTGTGTAGGTGTGTGTAGGTGTGTGTAGGTGTGTGTAGGTGTGTGTAGGTGTGTGTAGGTGTGTGTAGGTGTGTGTAGGTGTGTGTAGGTGTGTGTAGGTGTGTGTAGGTGTGTGTAGGTGTGTAGGTGTGCGTGTGTGTGGGTGTGTGTGGGTGTGGGTGTGGGTGGGGGCGTGGCACAGAAGGATTTCGGACCCGAGTTCCACGAGCTATTCGCAGCCCCTTCACATCACTTCTCGACCCTTGCGCGCCCCCAACGCTGCCGCGGTGTGCCCGTCATCATGGAACCCTTCAGTCTGCTCATTAGCCCGAGGGTTACCCTTGTCAAGTCCGAGAATCGTGCATGCTAAAGGTGCCCGGTGCCGCTTACGCATCTCTTGGCCGCGCTGAGCCCAGTCAGTTGTAGGGGAGAGAATCTTCACTGGTCACATCGTTGCCCGCGGTGTTTTCTGCTGATCCTGAAGGTTTCGCAGTTTCCTCAACCTCTGCTAGCCTGTGTCTTTATGCTGCTACCCCTCTGCAGTCCCATAATCTTGGCTAGCAGGACAGCACGCAGCCTGCTGGGAACCACGTCGCAATTGGTGCAGCCTGGCAGGCGACGATGTGCTCTTCATAGGTCATGGTTGTCTCTTGCACTTCTGGCTGCCGTATTGGTCATGGCATACAGTGACAACTGGAATATCTTGCAGTTGCATGTCTGACTGTTCCTTGTATTTCCATAGGCTGCTGTACGCGCATGCTTCTTCGACTGCGCAGCTCAACATGGTGGAAGTTTCTTCAACTTGCGCCCATGGCAATGTTGGCTTCGAGAAGGAAACGTACAGACATGGTAACTAGTCCTTTGGGGACACCGTCGAGCTTCAGTCAAGCTTAAGCAAGCTCAGTGTTGTCAATCAGCACCCCGCCCCCCGCCCATCTTCCCTGTAGCGTCCTTACTTGTATGGAAACATGGATGGCTCGCAACGCAGGCAACCCTAGCTCCTACAGCAACACAGCCCCATGTGGAGCCAGAATGGCCCAGCAATGGCGTGGGCATCCTGGGGCACACGATGAGGCTTTAAGCGGCCTGGAGCAGACTTTGATCTGAATTGCTTTGGCTTGAAGTTCTGGTGTTCAGAACTGTTAATTGTAAACGCTTGCGCGCACCGCCTCGGCAGCCGGGCCGGCCCCAGGACAGGAAAGGAGGAAAGAGGGTTTCGCAAAAAGGGGCAGAGGGGTGGGGGGGGGGGTGGGGGGGGGGGGGTGGGGGGGGGGGGGGTGGGGGGGGGGGTGGGGGGGGGGTGGGGGGGTGGTGGGGGGGGGGTGGGGGGGGGGGGTGGGGGGGGGTTTGTTTGAGGAATTTCCTGTAGGAGCCACCGAGAGGCAGGACCCTCCACGGCGTCGGTTTGCAGCTCCTCCAAGTGATTGGGGGGGGGTCCCACAGGGCGGGGGGGGGGGGGGTGGCGTCAGAAAATTCGGGGGAAGGAGGTCTGCTTGTTCCAGACGCTTCTCGGCAGGAAGCCGAGATCCACGACATGGAAGAGGGACGTGACGGGGTAACTTGGTGGGCATTCCTCCGAATTTTACCGGTCCGAGCACCGGGAAGTCGAAATCGCGTATCTGGCAAAACATGCGACTGTTGTTTAAAACAGCTGGTTCCCAGCCCTTTGGAGCTGTCCACCATGTTTGTTTTTTTGCTATTGCCAGCAAAGCCAAGGTGCTGTCTTCGCAGAGACCGAAGTGCTGTTGACAGAGCTAGCAAAGCTTTGGCGGCGTCCAGAGCTTTCCCCTGAGGAGCCACGTCGTGTGTTGCACTTGATCGAACCGGCGTGGTGCAGTACGTAGCCTCCACATCGTGAAAGACTGCAAGAAGTAAATTTTGTGAAGCACATAAGGGCAGCAGAGGGCAGTTGAGCTCTCACTGGCGATCTCTATTGAGTCTATTGATGTCCTTTCATTTTCAAGCCCAATGGGCCATGTAAGACAGGCAGTTGGGTTGGACTCTGCCGCTGGCGGGCTGTGTAGTTACCTCGGCCAAAGCAAACTCGCAAACAAGTGTCTCAAAGCATGCGTTTTAAACAAATGTCAACTTTTGAGCACATCCATGCTTAACGCTAGTTTTATACAGTTGAGGTCGCATTGAGTGCAGGGCTGTGTCAGTGCGACTGTACTCCCTGGAGGATGCAATCACACGCGCCAATGGTGTGCGGACGAAGCTAGGCGCGTTTGGGCCCGTGCTTGTGCACATGTCTGCTGGCGAACACGCGACTCACCACACGAGATTAACTGTTCACCGTGTTGGCTTTCTGGGACACAATAGGTCCCATCTTGGAGAGCGAGCGCAACTGGCTTCAGAAACAGCGCGACAAGCTCGACAAGGCCGGTTTGATGTGTGACATGCCCGCTTTTCGGGGTCACTGTCCTAGTAGAGCCTAGGCACCCACACACGAACCCCCACATGCGAAACGAGGCCTTGGAAGAGGCGTCGAAACTCGCCGCAGAGGTCGGCGAGGTGCCTCCAATCAAACAGGACACGGCCGAGCCGGTTCATCGATTGGGGTTCACATCGATCGTGGAACGATGTTGGAACGATGCTGAAAAAAGTCAGTGACAAGTCTGCACATGTTGGCTCTCTGGGAGAGGCAGTCGAGGGCAAGAGACGCCCCTGAAATTCAAAGTGCTAGGAGAATTCTGCACTTCCTGAGCAGCGCGCTGGCGTGAAGGCAGCGATTGACCGCCGCTCAGCAGCTTTTGGGTCTTGAGGGCGAGATTTTCAGGGGACTCTGACGGTTTGGTCGGATCTGGGCGCTAAGCATTACGATATGCGACCCAGTTCCAGGCCAAGCACGCGCGATTCAAGAGCAAACAGCTACGCGATCCCGGAATGCACCTCTCGCGCGCTCGAGGAGGACCATCCGCACTGTTGAAGCCCACGCCCGTCATGCGGTTTCACCGAAGCAAAGGGTGACTATGGCATCAAGGAAACAGAAACGGAGAGGAGTCAACTCTGATCATGTTGAGAGCCACGCGGTTTCCCCCTTGTCCAAGACGCGTCTCTCATCAAGCGTAATCCCGGCACATCTCGAATCTCGATACGTTTATCATCAAGTGTGCTGCCAGCACTTCAAAAGCAAGCGCAATTTTGCCTATCCGACCCTTGCATCCAAAGAAAATGCATCCGAGATCTTGTAAACTGAAGTCTGTACTAGCTTGGGCTTGGATCATGTTTTGCCTTGTTGTTAAGAACCATGTGGTCTCACCCTGATCGCCGCCCGGACCTGAATCCGGGCAGCCAGCCCCGCTGCTCGTTTTGCTGAGGTTTTCAACAGCATGCGCTTACCAGCATGTCTAGGGGCACCCAAATACGTATTCCTCAATGTAGTTTACATCCACGCCGGTACCATGGGATTAGGTTTTGAAAGTCGGCTCACATCGCGCAGCAAAAACCACCAGAATCACTGGCCTCCGCAGCAAATGGTCCAATTAATCTCAGGACTTGCCGTCTATTTGGGGGTTGCTTTGGCATGGTGTTGTGTAATTCCGCCGCTCATGTCAATGTGTAAATCTGCAAGGACTTCATGCTAGGGTGATGTGTGTTTTGCTTGTCACGAAGACAGCGATCCTTGCCTGTCCATCTAGCCGTGGAGGGAGCTTGGACCATGAACTGATTGATTGCTTTTAAAAACCCTCCCCCCTTGTCCTGCATGAACGCACCTCGGCACCGTAGTTCCCGCCGTTTGGCAGAGCGCCGCCCGTGTATGACACGTTGAGCACACGCTTCTGATCGTCTTTGGTGCACAAGCCATCCTGGTAGAGAGACCCTTTCTTTGCCAACATGTGTCAACCACCCCAAACCCAACTTATCATTTGACACGAAACGTGAAGCACCGCCTCCGCGCCGCAGCCCCATAAATAGCTGTCGTTCTGTCGCTCAAGCGTGATGAGCCCACAGCGCTCGCCTCGCAGTGTTGATGATTGTTGGGGGTGAACAGATACACATCGCAACTTACAGCGCAAGAGCGCTTGACGCTCCGCGTGCTGCACATGCACATGGGTCTCGGGAAAAGGCGTCATTACCTACTTCCTTGCTTACTTGCTGGAGGTGAACAGGTACACATCGTAACTAGACCGTGTTCACTGCTGCTCTTTGCACGTTCAGGCGTGCCTCATAGTGAGCAGCATCCTTCTCACAAGTCGTGGACGCAGCCAAGGCTTGGAAAAGGCAAAAAAGCGGCAAGGGACCGAGATTCAAGCTGCTCGGTGATGAACTAAACATGCCTGACTAAGGGTCATTTTATGTGGTTTCCGCGGGGTGTTGCGCGCAGTTGTCTTTTTACGCATCGGGGTCAAAGTTCTACCCGTTCGGCGGATGTCGGCGGAGCTGAGACAGAAGCTTGAGAACAAGGCTTGACTTGACTTCGGGGTTTTGTCGCAGTGGTGCAGCTGCCCGTCAGCTCCCATGAACAGCTTGGACATAATTGGGCTGAACACTATATAGTCCCGGCTCAGCAGCCTAGCCTCCGAAAGAAAGCCTGGTACACGACACCACACTGTTGCCACGCACATTCAGCTTCGATTCGTCGCTGAGCGGGTCGAAGGGGATGATCAGATTTGCTGTAACACCTCGCAAGCCAGAAGTCTTTCAGGAGGCAACCGGGCCACAGCATTCTCTCCAAACCAATGTGCTGTAGTGGGGAAAACTTTGTTGTCATTGTTGCAGCCTTCGGTTTCGAAAGACCAAACGTGAAGCAGTCAGTTCGTCCACCTTCAAGCCCCACCCGCATCTCATTGCATTTGCAATGGTTTCTCTGGCAACCGTTGACAGGAGCTTCGTGCCAAAGTCGCCAAAGAGTGCAAGCGATTGAACCTGGACGAGTCTGAGTATGCCTGCCGGGCTGCATCAAGGAGGGCGGGTATTGTCGCGTTTTCCCAAAAAACTACAAACTCTGAGAATTTTGCCTTCCCATCATCACCATCATCATCATCATAATCCCAGGTCACGGAGGATTCTCTGACTGGGGGCGTGGCAGTGAAGGCCACACGCAGCAGTTTCTGAGGCTTACGTTCCAGGGCTTGCGGAGTGCAGGTTCTGATGGTGCACAAGGGGAAAGATGGTCAAAGATGGAGAGCAATCCACAAGCATTTGCGGTGGTATGACATGGCACAGGCCCAACCCAGCTGACATCTCTACCCCAGCGGCTTGCCCCCATCAGGCTTTGAAGCATCAGCTCCAGCGCTTGGACGAAGCGCTTTGCCAAGAGACGCGGATTTTTGCAGTGGTCTTTTCAGTAATTAGAGGCTCTGAGAAGTGTCTTTGATTTCCTTAGTACGTGTGGCGTCGTTGATCAGGGACGTCCGGTTTAAGTCTGAGCACCAATGTTGCAGCGCGCAGTCGGCTCGTTTCAGTTGAGCCGCAACGTGCATCCAGGGCACATTGCAACATGTTTTGGGGAACGGCGGGAACCCTTCACAAATCCAGATCCTAGAGCATCCCTAAGCCAAGCCTGTTAGGATCTGTTAGGTGATGCGCGAGCGCGTGGATGCCGTGCTTGCTGCGCGAGGCCGCCCTGTGGTTGGAAGGGCTTTTGAGGTTCGCCCTGGCCCCGAAGCCGAAGA